GAGTTGGCAGAAATAGAACAAGAGAATAAGCATTGATTATTTAGTAGGTGACAGATGAGGGGAAACACAAGATGTACATACAGGAAAATGTAACACAACCATAATTTTCTTTGGGACCAATTAACATTAGAATTGGCTAGCATACTCTTAATCAGAACTGAGTTGCAATTTTTTGTCATGAAAATGGGGATCTTATCTAATGAAAGCCAGCAAGAGACTTTTTTGGTTCAATAAATAAATACACACTGAACTGCAGCACAGAATAATCATTTTGTCGAATACTAACACACAATATGCAAGTTGGGGGAATAAATATTTAAGAAGAATTCCAGATGTTCATTTTGTCAGCTGTGTTATTAATGTCTCCTCTAAATCATGATGGAAGACCAGAAGCACCCCAGCTACGGCCTTACAACTTGCAGTGCTGAGACAACTTTCCTCTTGTCTCTTCATCTCTCTTCTCTCCTTAGCTGATGAAGTGACTCTAACAATTAGCAACATGTACTCTTCACAAGCTGCTTTTTGTCTTCCCCTCTCCAACCTTCGGCTTTCAATTCATTCTACTCCTACCCGTTCAACAGCCAAGCAGACACACCCCAGTCAAAGAGTATGTTAATTTCAGAACATTTAGTGTCTGTTCTCAGAGTGAGCATGTGGGCTCATGTCCTCACCCCAGCCTCCCTGCATGCTACAAGCAATAGCAACACAGATAGCTGGTGAGTTTGGGCAGAAGGCCTCCAGAAGTCAGTGTTCAGATGCTGACCTACAGCTGCACACACCTTTCACACCTTAAAGCTAAATCACCTGATGTAGTAGCCATGACATGGCAAGTGCCCTGGTGGAAATAGCAGATGGTCCACAGAAATTGCTGTGGCTAGATTTTCTCAGTCTCTGTTCATGCTGCACCACTTTATAAAAACCTCTGTAGAACAGGACATCTGATCAAAGTATGGCAGAAAAGCTGATGGATTGTACAGCAACTGAGACATTTTTATTTATTTTCCTATTACCTGAAACCCCTCCTACACAGGCATCAACTGAGTGTTCACTCAGCTGAAAAGCCGCAGGATCTAAGTACAGGTATGGAAAAGAAACAACATCCCAGCATCATCACCTCAAGCAGAAATGGTCAGTAATACAAGCAAAAGAGAAAAGATTCACACTGAGGCAGCCCAGTGCAGCCTGATGCTACACATCTCTGGAGATGTTTGTTCTGTTGTGCTTACAACTGTGAAAGAAATTAAACAAAGGACTACTTTGGCTGTCCAACAATTAATTTTAAGTACTGAAGCATTTATAAACTGCTTAGAATTACTGAATCTCTTAAATGCTGATGGATTTCTTCTTCCTGATGGATGTCTTGTTAATATGGCATTAAACCCATACAAAGGCAGAGTCACTGCCACCTGCAAAAAAGTTTTATGCAAAAAAAATAAGAAAAAGTTCCCAAAGCATAGTTGTAAAAATGTGTTTCTGAAACACCACATTAATCCAACTACAAATACTTCCAATTCTAGGCAGGCTCTTCAGTAGAGAATTAAATATAAATTAAAAATTATACTGAATTTTTTAAAATATTAAATAATTAAATATTAAATGCCATAACACACAATTCATATGCTTCTCTGCTACTTTAATATTCAAAGCCAAATTCAACAGTATGCTGTACCTACCAGCTAGTGTATAATCACTAGATGAATGATAACACTCAATTTTGTTATTAAAAAAATAATCTCACTTCTACCCAAGCCTTAACATTTTGTGTCTCACAAAACATCTCTAAAAACAGGTCCATTAAAGGACCTTTTGAAAACCAGAGACAGGCAACCATCAGCTCAGATCTCATAAATGAAGTCATGAGTTCAACTGCCTTCCAAACAACATTTACTTCCACTGAAAAGTAAGTTTTCTTGCTCTTGACATACTGACATCCCAGTCAGTGTGAGGAAAGATAATAAGATCTGTCAGTCTCTGGAAAAACTTTTAACAAACAAGGCTTTTTCTTAAAGAGTTGTTTGATTTGATTTTGCTAGCTTTACCAAGTCTCCCGAGGGGTATATTTTTCTCCACTGCGCCAGTGGCCTGCTAGGGACATTGTAACAGTGGAAGACTTAACCCCATCAGAAGATACCATCTCTCGATCTTAATGCAAAAAGGAGCCAGGTTTACTACAGTTTCATTTTAATAGATTACCCCTGAGAACCAAGTTCAACTACAGTTTATGCCTAAAGCCCAGAAAATGAATATACAGTATGTCCTAACTATATTATTTTTTAAAAAATTGAATGGCAAATGCAGCTGAAACTCCCCAGAGAAGATGAGAATGTTTTAGTAAATTTATGAAATATTAAGCCCCATGAATTTGTGCAATGTTGAGAATAGCAAGGAAACTCCTCCTACTGTGATTAAACATCATACCACTAAGTTAAAGAGACACATCCCCCTCCCAATTAACATTTTTGTTTGAAGACTAACTCTAATTTGAAATGTCCTCTTTGTAAATTCCATTTTAAAACTTCTTGTGAAGTGTAAGTGCATTGCCTTATTTGACATACAGAGTACTATCAAAAACAACCCAGAGCATTAAAAAAATATGTTTTTCTTCCTTTAGTATCAAGCACCTGGCAAGTGACTGGAAGGTTCCTGAAAAGCCTTAAAGGTTATTAAAAGCATTCCTCTTTTTCCCTGGGGACTTAAAACTCAATTATTTTCATTCCTCCTTTTAAGCTATGAAATTACATCATCTCTTCCCCTTTGATTTATACTTTAAAGTACTTTTTTGCATTGTTCCTCAATTTGCTAATTCACTAATAAATAAAACTCCTGTTGGCTGCCCTCATGAAATACTGGAAGAGGAAATGTCCAGTATTGCATGTCTCTTGGCAAAACAGGACCATTTATTATATTCAGCTAATTACATATATTTGATGCATAATTTTAATAATTTGCTATTTATGATTTGTTCCAGCTATGTAAGTCTTCAACTTAACAAGTTAAGTCTTCGAGAAATAAACTAACAAAGTGCCTTGGAAGGATCTCTGCCCAAGCATTGTGCTGGAGTAGGAAAGCAGGAGCCTTCAATCTGCTCTGTTTGCTAACTTTCCCTCGAACAGAGCACAACACAGGGTCAGGTCCCTTCCGGGGTACTCAGTGCTCTTGAAGCCCCAGGTACCTTTACTCCAGCCCTCTTACTGGCCCTACATTGGGGCCTGCTGTGTTCTGAAGATGGCTGTACTTGTGTTAGCTCCCTCCTCTATAACACTTGTCACTCCATGAAACACCTGCAGAAATGAGACCTCTGCTCTATGACTTTGTGCCTTCCTCCTCCAGCCCGCTGCCCAAATTTAAAAAAATTCAGCAGCAGCAGAAGAAAAACTGCTGTCACTGAACACTACAGGGAAGAGCCTGTCTCCCTCATCTTCATTCATGTCTACTGCATGTTCATACAAACTGATACAAACCCCTCTGAGCCTCCTCCAGGCTGAACACTTCCAGCTCTCAGATTCTCCTTGTATGACAGATGCTCCAACCCCTTTGTCATCTTCATGGTCCTGCACTGGAATCTCTCCATTAAACCTGTTTGTGCCTTATATTAACGATCCCAGAACTGGACACAACATTCCAGAAGTTACCAGTGTGGAGAAGAAGGATCACCTCCCTCAACCTTTACCAATGCTCTTTACACTGCAGCCCAGGGTAACACCAGTCTGCTTCACCACTAGGATTCATTGCTGAATTCATTACGGTCAGCTTGTCCACCAAGGACCCAAAGATCCTTCTGGACAAAGGTGCTTTCCAGCTCGGCAATCCCCACAGTTTACTGCTCTAAGGGATTGAAACTCCTTAAGCATTGGACTTTGCATTTCCCCTTCTTGAGCTTCATGAGGTTCTGCTGCTTAGTTCTTCAACTTATTGAAGAGCCTCAGAAGGTCAGCCAAGCCCTCAGTGCTATCAATCACTCTGCAGTCTTGTATCATTTGTTGATGCTTGCTGAGGACATATTCCATCTAATCATCAGGGGATTAATGAACACATTGAACAGGTCTAGCCCCAGTATCATGCAGTACAGCAGTCCAGAAAGCAAACTGAAAGAAATTAGTCAGATAAAAAGTCCAAGGGTTCAGCTATTTCAGGTGCATGGACAGCACTGCTTTTGCCATGTGATACTTGTACAAGAGTGCACACATAAAAGTAGACTACAAAAAAAGCAGTACAAGGTCTCCATATAGTCATTTCCCACAAAGCAGGCCTTGCTTCTAGAATGCAAATAAAACTTCCTGCCTGCCTAAATCAACAATTCCTTCTAGGTCACAGTTCTCCCCAAATACCAGCAATAAGCACAAACACACACAATCCTCAAAGCCACATAATCTTTCAAAGTTAAAAACGATGCAACCTTCCTGCTACACAAAAAGTAAAGTAAGCCAGCTTTTGATTTTCATTTTCTTGTGGCCCTTATTTCCTTCCTTCCAAAGCAGGACATAGGACCACGTCTGTCTATGGCTATATCCACAAACAGCAGCAAACTCTACTGTGACTTAACAAAGCAAGCAGTAGGCTAACATTTTAATAGGGCAAATTGCACAGCTATCATATGCTCACATAATACACAACTAGAAGTCAAGAAAAACTTAAATTCATCAAGGGACCTTCTCTAGAGCCGAGCTGAACAGTCACACAAACATTTTGATTACAAATGACATCCATACCACTCTTTCTCATCAGTGTCTACTATAATCGGGCAATTAAGCACAATGTTTTCTCATGTTCTTTCATCACTTTATAGAAGACAGCAGACTCAGCTGGGACTGACAGTGGCAGAGGGAATTGTACTATTTGATTACACAATTTTAATGAAGGACATGTTTCCTCCTCCATAGGAGGACACTACTAAGCAAGCTGCTCTCCAGTATATTTAAGTGTGGCAGTGTGCATACCAACTTGCATTTCACAGGCTTCATGCCCATTTTCTTACCCAAAAATGTCACAAAATTCCTTACCTGCAACAAATGACTGCTTTACAGGAAAGTGCCAAGTCTAGAAAGCTCTGCCTGACTTCAAATGAAAGGGCATACTTCAGTGTGTGGCCATCAATAATCAGGGCAATATCATTTTCCTTGCCCAGTGACTCCCCCAGACTGGTACAATGTTGAGTCAGAGAAGCTCTTGTTGCCTGAAGAAAAAAACAGAAAGAAAATATTTCTTTCATACAAGAAAAGTGCATTCAAACTAGAGCAAGGTATCTCCAGACTGTCTAGATAACAGAGCCCAGTACAGATGCATCCAAACTGGCACTGACATGAGCTAATGTGTTGGCAGTATTTCATGCAGACATACTGACTTGTGTCACAAATCAGCAAAAGCTGCCTCTGCCTGCCTAGGAACATGTCTTGTTTGAGAGCAGACTCCAGCATCTTTACCACACAGTCCTGCATGATGGATGTGCCCAAAGCAGTCATGATACAGCCTTTCCAACTGCAGCCCAAATACATCAACTTTCCTGGGCCAAAAAGGTAGAAAAAGAATCAGGCCACTTTTGCACAAAGGGGAAGGTTGAGGGGAAAGAGGAAAAGTTGCTTTGCAATTCATTTTCTCTCACCCCACTCATTAGTACAGTAATCAAACTCACTCTGATTCACTAGAAAACTAGCCCTGAACTGGAGGCAAATTTAGAGATTAGATTAATGTGTGACAGAGAACACAGTTCAGCCACTTCAGACACAGATTACCTTTTGCACCTTCCTTAAGAACAACTCCTGGCATAATTCCCTGTTTCCCCATTAAAATGAGAGTGATTAGATTTATTACTTCATGGCATGCTTTATTTACACTGTACCTGAAAATCTAACACAAAGTAGATGACTGTGCTTAAACCATTAGAGACCAGTGCTGGGAAAACAAGGGTAAGTCTTTTGGGAAGAAAACTGTTTTATCTAGTTCTACACTACTGTGCAGTGACAACATTCACAGAAACTCCAAGGATGGTATAACGGATACAGTTTGGGTAATGTTATCAATAATAGAATTTTATCCCAAGAGCCCCTGCCCCTGGGATCTTGGAGTGTCATTTCTTTTTCTTTACTGCTTCCTCTCAGTCTTGCTCAAACATTTTTCTTGCTCTCAAGTGCAGAATTAACCCCTGTGCTTCTCCTGAATGCACACACAGGATTAAATGCTTCTCTGACTATTTGAAGCCAAGGGAGAACTCCCTGCCCTTATTCCCTGTCTAGCACTTGGGGCACTTCAGAGGGAACACCCCTATTTCTCACCTGACCCAAAGGAGGGTGAAGGTCAGGGCCCAAGCACTCCTCCCTTCAGAGACAGAAGAGAATCTGAGGGCAAGGTTCAGGAGGGTTGCTGAAAATCCATCATCTATTGCTCAAAAGAAAAAGCCACAGGAGAACTTATAAAAGGTGATATTTCTCATCAGTTGAGGTTACTAGTCTCTCCATAGCTTATTATCATGGCTACGGATAAGTCTCATTCAATTCATGCCCTGGTCATGGAACTTACTCATCTTACATGTAAGATGACACAGAATTAGTAACACTGTTAATAATACCCCAAAACAGTATAAATCAAGGATTACAGGCATTGTATTTTACCAGGACTTTGTAAAAGTCTCAATCTACTCCTCCATATGTGGGGCTAACTTACAGCCTAACAGCTTACACAGTAAAAAAGCATGAATTATTACTTCTGTTTCTTCCAACTACTTAAAATTGCTGTGTTTTAAAAAAGAAAACCAACTATTGCTCCTATAGGCCAGTGCAATTAAGCCAAATAAACCGGACCCCATTCTCCTGGGTATATAATGAAGACCTTCCAAGCAAGCACAGGAACAAACATTTGGAAACCATGGGGAACTATATCCTTCTGTGGGCAACTCATTACTGGTAACTAGAGTAAAAAATCCTACTTTGATCCCTCGCTTTTACTCTGTGCTTGACATCAAGGGATAAGTTTCTTTGAGTCACATCAAGCAAGACTAAATCAATCCTTTACCAGAACAAGCATGATGAAGCAGAAATCAATAGTAATCCTAAGGAAGTATCTGGATAAACTCACACCTGTGGAATACACCCCTGCCTTTTTTACTGAGTATCCATCAAGCCTAAATGCTAAGTTTGTCAGGGGTTCTGACAGAAACAGAATGTTAGAAACAAATATAGCAAGCTTTTCACTTAGCCATAATAAACTTGGTTTTCCTTCCCAGGCACAGAGCATCCAGCTGCTCTGGGGAAACCCAGAGAGGTGCCTGCCAATCAAACCTTATGGTACTGGCATATCAATTTCCATCAAATATTAAAAATATACAGCTTTACTTAAAAGTCAGAAGGTGAAAAAAATGAAAAATCCATCTGTTTAGTAGCCCTGATTCAGAGGGTTATTCTAATAAAAATGGACACTTCATAAGCACATGCTTAAGTGGTCAGTTGAATCAGAGTAACATTATCAGTTTAGAGCTTTACAAGGGCTTAAAAACTCTTTCATAAGACCACCAAGTGCCAGAGAACAAATATGAAAAATTCAAATCAGATTGTAACAAGTCACCTACAGAGCTCAAATTGAAAAAGCTAAGGAAATCAGGTTTTAATTTATTTTTATTCTACTTTAAACTTTTGCCATGATGGGGGAGGGGGACTTGTTTCTAAATATAGGAATAATTCTGATGAATGCATTTAAGGGTTAAGGTTGATACGGTCTCTGTGCTTGAGTTAAATTCAAGACATAGTCCTATATTCCATAATAAACCTATCCCACCTGCTCTTCCTGTTTGTTTTTCCATTTCCATCTTAACAAGCCACAACCACAAATACAAACCTTCAGCAGAACATTTACTCGCATTACTGCCTTAAAATAAACTTTCAGATTTTATTGTTCTCTGTGCGCATAGTTTCCATAGAGAACATGAAGTAACATTATTAGTTCACTATTATAATCTTCATAGCAGACTACATTTGTTGACAGACAGAAAACAAAAACATCCTGAAGCAGAGTTTGTGTGGTCTACTCTGGATTGTACACTCAGGATCTTTAACAAACCTTGTGATAGCATGCTTCTGTATTCTCACTTCCTAAAACCTCAGGAAAAATCCCTGCTGTGCCCAGCTTCTTCCAAAGACCTAGTTATAAGGAAGGGTGCAAAACATATGGCCACAAAGCCTAGTGAAGATTACTTTATGTTTACAGCAGTAGTCCAGCTACAGGACTTGTTATCATGTTGCTCTGTTCCCTCTCTTTTGTGATTCCTACAATTGATCAGTCTTCAAACAGTTGGTTATTTAACTGCTTCTGTGTACTCCCAAAATTTAGCTGGGGATGGAAATACCAATTCAAACACAGTTGTGTTTCCTAGGTGCAATGTGACACCTGCTTACACAATGATACAAATCCATGGTTTACAGACCAAGAAATGGATTCTCAAAACATCAGTAGAGTTTAAAATACCTATTTACCAATATTGGAATATGGATGCTGTAATAAAATCAACTCTACAACAACATGGACCTCCAAATTCAACTCATAAAAAATTTCAGAATTTGCACACTTTCTCTCAACAATAGGGAAAGTCTTATGAGTATCCACAAAACCACTCTAGCTTTCTTCTGCTCTTAAAACCATATCACAGTACTAAAAAAAAAATAAAAAATCATCAAACCTGACAGCAGTATGGACATTCATCTTGCTACACAGTGCAACAGATGAGGCAGTGCATGGGGTACAAAGCAGGCTGTATTCCTCAAAATACATCACCTGTAAGGTTATTCTGAAGCCAGAAGCAGAAATATTAGCAGGGAGGTTGTTTTGTTTATTAACTCACTGAAAACAGCACTATGGAAAGAAGACCCTGAAAATTACACATTTCTAAAGCCCAATTTTAAGACTTCATCCCTTCCTTAGCTTTACAGAAGCGGAGGATATAAGGACACTCTAGTTGAGAGCCAGGCAAACGTTTAAAAGCCAAAGACTAACTGTGAATACTTAACTAGTTTACATTTCAAAAGAAATAGTACCAACATCTTCCAGTTTAGAGGAAGGTTGAGTACTTTCACAATACAGGATCCTCTTCAAATTCATCCTGTACACACAAAACCATTTAGCAAATGGATCATGGAAGATCAGATCCTAGTTGTACACCCTCAATTTCCTCTTTTAAGAAAGATCAAAACTAAGAGAAAAACTAAAAAAGAGGCCCATCAATGGCTGTTGCTTAGTATTGCTGCAGTGCTCAGCCTGTGTCACATGCTGATTTAAACAAATAAGAACACACAGTGTTACTACTCCAATGACACCTCACAGCCATTCCTAAAACATGTAAATCAAATGACTGTCACTGATCTGACACAGTGGAACATGATTATTTAATAACACCACAATTCTGCTTGATGAATATGATCTCCTACCATGCCAAGAAAAGCATTGCATGGAGGACCCAGAGATATCAGATGGCTCACTCAAATCATTTTCATAACTTTAATTTTATGAATCGAACTTCAACCTGAAGTTCCTTCAGTTAGCCAAATAATTTAAAAGATCTCAGTACAAAGAGTCCTTAATCTGCATACCAAGTCTCAGGTTATCACACATTCAAACCAAATCTTGCTTCCAAATATATGATAAACAGATCATACCAGAACTTTGTATCCAGGGGCAGCTGAAAGCCCAGATGAATTCACCCATCAAGTGCTGTAGAGAATGATTCAAAGATGTTTCCAGTTCTGCAACAAATTTATTATGCAGGAGCCAAGAAACTTGGTTAAATAGGAAACAATATACACCCCAAAGGAACATCTGTCCTGTCATCTGTATATCTATCTCCAGGCATATTCTACATAGTTTAAAAAGAAAAATTAAACAGATCTTTTCACAAACTTCATCTGATCACAGAAAAACAATCTCCAAAAGTGTCAGTCAGATATACCATCTCAAACACATATGCTGTGTAAAGGGCTGCAGGTACTTCAAGCACCTGCAGGATCAGTTCAAGATCACGGCAAGGAGGAGCATCAAAGAGCTGACTACTCAAAAAGTACCTGGTTAAGTACTCAAGAGAACTTAACGTCACATGTCAGGTGGCTTCCCACTAAACTTCAGGCTCTCAGCAAAGCAGCATCTTTAATATGGAATATATATGAAGTCTCCCCTACAATCCCAGAGCTGGAGAGGCTT